GATATTGAAAAGAGACACATATAATTTGATAATTTCTTAATGTAACTTTTAAGATGAAACAACATAACTCTTAAATTTTAGGAAAAAAAATTAAGTACTTTTTAAACTCTTTAGGGGGATACACATGGATTTTTTGGAGCTAGTCTCATATGTGGAAAGTAAATGTCAAATATGATTCAATGCAAATGAAATGGTAACCCATTTCATAAGAACATAATATAGAAGAACCCCAAGTCTTAAGTTTGAGTGATATATGCAAGGTGGATGGTTCATGGACTTTCACAACTCAGTTCCGTGATTGTGGTTGGGTTTGAATAAATAGTTTTGGAAAAAATCAACTTATGGAGACGAGAAACTTTAGACGCGAGAAACTGCATTGCATACAGAAGTGGAAACACTGGGATGGACAATGGAGAGTTTGCTCCAGCATTCAACATGCATTCCAAAGCTCTAGAGACGCCTTGCACAGATCTGATCGTGATGATAAAGGAACTTCATGCATGACCAAATTCTGTATCAAAATTGGAGGTGATAAAGACTCTGCAGATATGTTATCCCGACTTCAAGATTCTCATATCCCAAGAGTGCAAACAAAATTTTAAACTCTTAAGCAAGGACTAAGGGTTATTTTCATAGAGAGCTTTCTTTTATTGGTTGTTTTTTTTTATCACGATATCTTTTATTGGTTGTTCTATTTCGGTTTAGTTATCCATACCATCTTTAATTTGAGTAATAGAATAGTAGTTCATCGTTAAAAAAAAACAACTTCTTACACTAATTAAATATACACTACTCCTCAAACATATACATTTTACCGTTGACAACTTATTTTCAACTAATACAACTTTTGATATGAAATAACAACATCTTTGGCATTAATTAGGATTGCTATTATTGATAGATATAATAGTAAAAGAATATTAAAGTCATTGGTTCGATAATACACGAGTATGATTGTTGGATTTCAAATCTATGTAGATTCTGATTAATAAGGCTTTGCGTAACAGAATTCTCTCCCTCAACTACAAGTTTCCTCATAGTGTGAACCACTCCTTAGAAGATGGTTTGAGATCACCTCGTAGTCGAGTTTGACATGCTTTATTTCTGTGTTTCTTGTCGATCTCCTGCTATTAGATCAATTTAGTTTACTAGCTCTTAGTCAGTCTTTTGTTTGTACATTTTCACATGGGCGGAGGTACTGAAGAGGAAGGGGGTCACCTGACCCATTATAATTTTAAAATTATTTGTTTTTGTTTAAAGAAAAATGTGTTGACCTCACTAAAAAGGAAAATTTGACCCCACCAAAAAATTAAACCCACAAAAACAATTAGAAAACATATAAATTAAAGATAAATTTTAATTATATAATAATGTGTTTATGTTATTTTTTAAACATTTTCATTTGAACTTAAAATTTAGCAAAAGATGTTTTTAATTTAAATTCTAGTTACATATTTGTGTTAAGCTCAAATTGTATTAGGCCCAAATAATATACCTATGTCTACATCATAATATCTACAAAACTTATGTTTCTATAAACGTGTATATTTAACTAATTATCTCTATATTTTAAGGCGAATCTTGTTTTTTTTATATAAAAAATCCTGACTAATCTTTCTTGTTATACTTTGCCCCTTTGCTTATGTTATTTTACGAAAAAAACAATTAGGGTTTATGTTCATGATATAAATATTTTCAACAGTTAGTTTTATATTTAAAAACAAACTAATCTTTTAATTTATCAGACAGAAATCGCACAGATCAGTTTATTTGAATAATATTTTTTCACAATGGATGATAGTTTCTAAAATAGAAAAGAAAATCATCAAAACACTACAAAGCATTATTATGAAATCATATCGATGATCAGTTTTAAGTGATTGTCATATTTGTTTAATAAAAAAGAAGTATTTCAAAATATAGTAAATGAAATTGTGATTATAAATATTTTCAAAAGGTATAAGTGACCGTAGAGTATATTTGTATTTTCAACAATTTATAAATTATCTTTCAGAAAGGAAAAAAATCCGAGTCCGGTAGAAAAACATTTTGGCTCCGCTACTGCATATTCATGTCCTATATTGATCAATTTAATATTTCATATAAAAAAAAATCTATATACATTCATAATCTAATAAAATCATCTTAAATGAAAGTTTGAGATTTCTACTCTCGTTATAGCAGATTCCATTATATAAGATAACTTTTATTATCAGAAAAGTGTTGTCCACCCATAATCCACCATCAATCTATACAGCCGACCATTTAGTGGATTTTGGAGATTTATAAGGTCACTTGTGTCATTTAATAATTATACTTAACGATTTGTCTTGTACGTCTAAACAGAAAATTTGAGAATCTAGAAAAAGAAGCTTTGCGTTGCATTGCATTTCATTGTCCTAACATATTTGATTTATGATTTTTCAATCCTTCGACAGTTTTACAATATTTTTAATTCGGTCCATATGCAATACGATAAAGTATTATTATTGCTTATTTCTCAGCATATAATGTGTTATAATGGTTGTTAGTTAGTGTCTAAAGTGAGTGTATAGTCAGATGTTGAAAATTGGTATTAGAATAAGTTGCGTATACGTCCAAAAAACACCGGGAAACACATGGAGAGATGTCCACCATATGTTGGTTTGATATCTGACTATGAATCCCATTTGGCCAATAACATTTTATGTTTATATATACATATTCATTTGTCTATGCGAATTAGACTTCAGTATAAGTTCATACTGAACAAAAAAAGGAGAGAACGAGGATGAAAGTGGACACAGACAGTGTTTTAGTGCCCTTGAGCGTGTTCATAGCAGTGGGATATCATGTCTTCCTTTGGAACACCTTCAAGCACAATCCTTCTCGTACTTCTCTTGGCATCGATTCCTCTAAACGCAAATCTTGGTTCCGTGACATCAAAGAGGTTATTTCTTGTTTTCCGAGTTTTTATGTTTGCAAAACCGTTCGTAAAAAAAAAAACTGTTTGTATTATTTTATTTACCTTTCAACAAAAATCAAAATTTTATTTTGGTAAGAAAATCAAAGTTCTACGCCTACATTTTCTGTACGGTTGCACTTCAAATTTACAAAAGAATTAAAATATTCTAACTTGTAAAACATAAGGCAACTGCATTTTTGCATTTAAAATAATCTTGACCTCATCATCAAGTCTAACGTAGTCTCTACACGAGTGACTCGTTTTCTCCACCTTTCTTGATGAGGTAGGTTTGTTTCGTGATAGCTTTGGTAGTTTCTCCATCTCGTATCCTTCGTAGTCTTATTCTTAAGACATTTTTGTTTAGCCGTAGCTTTGTCTTTTTTTTTTGGTTACAAAATAGTTTTTCTAACTTATTGATCATAACGAAAATGTAGGGTGACGATAAGACTGGGCTGTTGGCAGTGCAAAGCTTGAGGAACAAGAAAATGGTTACAATTCTCACTGCTTCAGTTTCCATCCTTATCTTGCTTTCTCTAGCTGCAGTTACTAACAACTCGTTCAAAGCGAGCCACCTCTTCACAGCCGCGGACAACATTGTTTTTGGCTCCAACAACCCTACAATCTTCGTCCTCAAGTATGCATCTACCTCTCTGCTTCTTGCAGTGAGCTTTTTCTTCAGCTCACTTGCCGTGAGTTACTTGATGGATGCCAATTTTCTCATCAACGCAATTGGTAAAAAGGATGAAGGAGACTGCGATTGCGATTATGAATTGACGGGGGCTGGATCGTTTAGGGAGTATACAAGATTAGTGTTTGAGAGAGGTTTTTTTATGGCTATGGTTGGGAATAGAGTTATGTGCGTTTCTGTACCGCTACTGCTATGGATGTTTGGGCCATTACCAGTGTTTGCGTCTTCCCTAGGCCTTGTTTGGGTATTGTACCAGATTGATTTTCGGGCAGTCGCCACAATTCCCGTTTGTAAACGATAAAATGGAAAAAAAAAAAAAAAAAAACTTGTATCAAACTGGTTGATTACTGTTTACATTCAAAATAAAATACCAATGGATGGTGTTAGAGACGATGAAGAAGATGAAATGTGGAAGAAACTGTTTTCTGTTATTTTGTTACAGAGTTAGTTACTCAGGTTTGTGTATACGGTTTATATTAAACTAACTATACAATTCCGGTTAACTCTAATATCTTTTTTCTTTAACTTGAAAATAAGTTTATGAGATAATATGCGAGGCATTTCCAGGATCAAATAACATAGAAAAAGCTAAGTGATCAGGATATATGCCTCTTGTGTATCTCTTCTCACAATAACATGTATATGGAAGGAAAAAATGATATATTGTGTATCAAACTTTGAAAAATTGTTGGGTACAAAAGCTTGGTAAAGACATTTGATTATCCGTACTAACATATAATGTCTTGATCAAACCTTTCAAAACCTTTTCTCGGACAATATTCGGATTCTGTAGAGAAATGAATCCGAATAATGACTAAAGACAGAGTCACCAAAAATAGTTTTGAACAAGACCAAAATATTTTAAAAAAAATCAACCAGATACACAAACTATAAAATGAAATATTTGGAAAAACAATGAGAATTTGTAATAGATTAATATTAATTAAAATAAATATTTTTAAGGATTTAAATTAATATTATTGAATTATCACTAAATCTCACAATGCTTCTAACAATGTAGTATTGAGATTGATGATTTTCAAATTAGTTGGTTTTTAAAATTATTTTGCTTAATATTTCCAACTTTTTAATGTCATTGCATATATAATATATTTTCATACAGTCGTATCCGCGGAACCGCGGACATAACTACTACGTAGTTTATAGGAAAAGCAAACATTATTGTTTTGTTAGATTTAAATGTCACTTGCAACTAATCAGAACAAGAGTTGAGAGCCGACTTGTGTGTGTCTTTATATCATCACGAAACGTGCCAAAATTGTATTCCACTCTTACCAGAATTTAAAAATAGTATTTTATTCATACACTGTTCTTTCGTTAACTGCAACTTACACAACTTGCTTGCTCCGCACATTTATCGTTTCAATTTGGCCACCCACTCTCACTCTTTTTTAACAACACTTTCTCACCTCTTCCTTCTCACGCAACTAACTCTTTAAAGATTCCTCTCTACACTCAACCTTCGAATTAAGACATCTCTCTACACACTCGTTTCTTTCAGTTACATCTCTCCTGTCGAGTAAGGTCTTTAGTTTTTGCTAAAGATGGCGCTTGAAGCTCTAAATTCACCGAGGATAGCTTCTCCAGCTCCGACTCTGTTCGAGGATTCAACAAGATTCCATGGCGTTGAGCAATGGAGCAAAGGTAAGCGATCCAAACGATCCAGATCTGATCATCACCACCGTCTCACTGAGGAAGAGTATCTCGCTTTCTGCCTCATGCTTCTCGCTCGCGACGGCGATCGCCATCACGTGGAGAAGGAAAAGACGATTTACAAGTGCGGCGTTTGTGACAAGGTGTTTCGCTCTCACCAAGCTCTCAGTGGTCATAAGGCTAGTCACCGGATTTTAATCAGCGGTGGAGAAGCTAAGCTGAAGACACCGACCACCGTGAAATCTCACGTTTGCACGATATGTTATAAATCTTTCGCCACCGGTCAAGCTCTTGGCGGTCACAAGCGGTGCCACTATGAAGGAAGTAGTAGCGTTGTTTCAAATTCTGAAGGTGTGGGGTCTACTAGCCACGTCAGCGGCAGTAGCCACCGTGGATTTGACCTTAGCATCACCACCGTTCATAGTTTCTCGCCGGACGATGAAGTAATGAGGCCGTTGCCGTTGAAGAAGCTCCGCCTCCAGTAAGGCCTATGGGATTCTTATAGGATTATGTATTACACCAAATTTTCTAACTCAACAGATTCAAAATGTTTTTTATTATATAGTTTTTGTTGATTCTTTTACCCAAACAAATACTTGTAAGAGCCTCTGCCACTTTTCATATAAACTAAACATATATTAAATCTATAAAGGAAAAATAGCAATAGCATAAAAAGATGAAATATTTACAAACTGGTTTCTTGTGGTAAAAGGGAATTGACCTCTCTATTTGAATTAAGATGATTACTTCTCCCAAGTCCAAAACTGCCCATAACGAAGTAGCGTACACTTGGTTTTGTTCAGTACCTATGACAGCTTAGTACTGTAGTTGTATAGCTTCTGTCTTCAAACTGCATTCCGTTACCTGCGGATTACAAGAAGAATAAAATCACCAAAATCTCTTACTTTGATAATAGTTCATATTTTGGGATTGAAGTTAATGCTGTCACCTGTAGAGCTGAGATTGTGTTTAGAAGTTCCCTACAAACGTCGAGCATCTCTTGCTCCTTGATATTCACACGACCAAGTTCTGCCGCCAAACCACTTATTTGCCCAACCTGAGAAACATGGCTTTCAGTTTTAGTGAAAAAAATATGGATCACAAAACCCAATAGATGGCAAAAGGTACTTACATTCCTCTACTCACCATTACTTTGTTGCTAAACTAAACAAAACACAAAGAGAGAAAAGAAAGTGGTTCACCTTTGGCAGCAACAAGCATATGGAAGATGCCATTGCCTGCATAACATCAACTGCTGAACAAATGGCATCTTTAACACTTGGTACATTTACCTGCATGTATGAATATATGATAACAGATTCATCAACACGCATCACCAAACACTTCCCTGATTTAGTATTTAGGAGAAAAAAAAAAGCAAAACCTTTGCTGCGCAATCAACAGGTAGACAACGCGTGCTGCCTTTCAACGCTTCTACAGCTCCTACTAAAGAACCCATATAATCCCTCTCCACAACAATCCACTCTTCTAGATTCCCCATCTACACACATGAAAAAAGAACACAATACTCTTCTTGTTATGTAACAAGAAGAAAGAAACTGTTAAGCTGGTCCAATCTCGAACCATACCTGCTTATTGAGAATAGATATCAGCTTTAAATTCAGCTCCAGGCTTTGCACTTCAATTCTTTTAACTCTCACGGAATCATACAGCTTGGAGATGCTTATCGATGCATTGTACAATCTTTTCTGCAAATATTAAACAGAGCACCATCAGTAAATACTAATCAATAATCATGTTTTCTTAGAGAATCAGCTAATAATAACCTCTGTTATCATCTTTTGTGCAGAGATAGCAGCATTTGCTCGTGCATTAACAAACCGCCACTGCATCAACCTATTATGCAAGAGCTTTAACAAGTGAACATCATCTCCAACACTCTTCTCTCTTCTCCCATCCAAAGACGTGTTATTATTACTCTGCAACCTCATCACCATCCCTCTAGGATTAACAACTCCTCTCGAAGGACTTAGTCCCCTAGCAATACTGGCTCCTCTAGGACTGGAAGCAGTTAGAGTCATCCTAGGTGAAGAAGCAGGTCGAGTGATCTGCTCACGCTTTGGACTTCTTGTGGTGGATACTCGCAATGCAAGACTATCCACAGAGTTCTTCTTCCTAATCGAATTTGATGAGTTTTGCAGAGGTATAGCTACTCTATTGCAAGATCCACGTGGACTTGTACTGAGACGATTCGGTTGCAGAGACTTAGGCCATTGATCAGATAACTTCGACTTCTCTTGCTTAGTTGTTGAAGTCGTTTTACTATTCTCAACTGTTTTTCCACGTGGAGTACGTGGCGGCGATGGATATAGCTTTGATCTGTTATCGTTCCACGTGTACGAATCTCCTTGAAACGACGAGAACAAGCTTCTCCCGGAACTCAACAACATTCTCTCCGCTGCACTCGCCTCTCCACTTCCTCCACGACGTGATGGTGTCAGCCTCCGCCCCGTAGATTGCGGCCGATTTGCAGGAGTAATCGCCGGTCGATTCGTCCTCGTGACGTTCGGCGATTGACATCTCTTGTCCGTCGAGAACGGTGATGATGACTCCAGGTATCGCGACGGTATGTCTCGTCTTTGTGTGCGGCGAGGGGGAACGGCGCTCGGTAACAACTCCAACGGTGGTGGCCTCTTAGCTTTGCTATGCTTTGGCTTGGCGTTGAAAGAAGGAGGAGGAGGAGACGACATTGGTGAAGGTGAGTCGCATAATGTGAGGAAGGAGGTGTGTTTGTATAGGGAAGATTTTTTTTTTTTTTCTCAACGGGTTTGATTTTGTATTTGGAAAGTGAGTTGATTGTGGAGTGTTATGTATCAATCGGCGGCGAGAGAAAGGAGTGTGTGGAAGGAGGTTATTACGCCAGTTTCGTGTGAGAGGGGGATAACCGTCGTCGTCTTCTCCTCGTACCTCGCCTTTTGCCTTCCATATTTTGGACTTATTGTTTTCACTTTTATTCCGTCAAATCTATTTATCTTAATTGTTTCACTAATACTAATTTATTAGATACTAGGTGATTGTCCACAAATTTACTAACATAAATTATTCTAAAACTTTAATATAATATAATAATACATTTACTAATTTATGTTTTTACTAATTTACTAATTTATAATATAATATAATAATTTATAATAATATATATAATAATAAATTACTAATTTACTAATTTATGTTTTTGAATTCAATAATACATTTTAATAATTTTAAACTAAATGTGAATTTTTGTTAGTTAATTTTTTAAAGATTTTTTTTTTATTTATTTAGATATTAATACTTTTAAAAAGCTTAAATGAATTTGTGTAGTATTTAGTTAGATTTTATAAACCTTCTACTGCGGGTAGTTCTATTCCTTAAAAATAGATTTTATAAACCTTCTACTAGGTGGTGACCCACCCGTAGAAGGTATATATAACTCAATTGGTGTGTAGTATTTAGTTAGATTTTATAAATCTTCTACTAGGTGATCCACCCGCACCCTGTGCGGGTATAAAAATATAGTATAATACTCAGACATAAGTACCTATTGAGTTCAAATGTGGGATTTAGTGGAACAAGTGAGAGTTTCAATGCTGAGACAAGATTTGCGCAAATCTCTAGGATGCAGTAGAGGTGGGCAAATCATTACATTTTCGGTTTGGTTTGTTTAGTTCGATTTTAAAATTTTTTTTTTTCAACTGAAATAAACCTTATTTAGTCTGGTTCGGTGTGATTTATGTCCAGTACAATTTATATTCAGTTCGGTTTGTTTTTGGATCGGTTTAATTAGGCTCTTTGTCGCTTAATTTTTTAAAAGAAAAATTATGTTTTAAAATATATACACAAAAAATATGTGAACTAAATTCAATATTAAACTGAAACAAATACTAAAAAAGTCACAAAAGTATATAAGAATAAAACAAATGAAAGTTAACCAAAGTAAAANCAATTTATATTCAGTTCGGTTTGTTTTTGGATCGGTTTAATTAGGCTCTTTGTCGCTTAATTTTTTAAAAGAAAAATTATGTTTTAAAATATATACACAAAAAATATGTGAACTAAATTCAATATTAAACTGAAACAAATACTAAAAAAGTCACAAAAGTATATAAGAATAAAACAAATGAAAGTTAACCAAAGTAAAAAAAAAAATTAACATCATTAGTATGTTTTTAATAAAAGTTAACTATTAAAAAAACAAATGTAAGAAAGATATACAGGTGACAGTGACATATTAAAAATGTGATAAAAATCTCATAGATATCACAATACCTTAGAAAATGTGATGAAAGTTTAAATATAATTCATAAGTAATATAAAATAAAAAGAACATTTATGAATAAAAAAATCCCATAGAAACCTGCAAAAAAATTGTCAATTTTTTTAGCAATTGTACAATATAAAATAATTTAATAGATTTTTAAATTTTATCGAGACGAAAATAATATTGAATTTGCATATCGCTATTGAAACAAACTGAAAAATGGTTTGTAATCAACTACAAACGGTCTTTCATCTGTGTTATTTATCTGTTAATATAAAAACAAACAAACGTATATATATAGTAAATCACATTTTTAAGATCCATATTTATATATATATATATATATATATATAATTAAGATAATAGTTTTGGATTTTCTAAATCTCAAATCACCATTATATTTTTGATTTTTGATATATTGTAAATCTATAGAAATATATAATATTTGCGCAAATCTCTAGGATGCAGTAGAGGTGGGCAAATCGTTACATTTTCGGTTTGGTTTGTTTAGTTCGGTTTTAAATTTTTTTTTTCAACTGAAATAAACCTTATTTAGTCTGCTTCGGTGTGGTTTATGTCCAGTTCAATTTATATTCAGTTCGGTTTGTTTGTGGATCGGTTTAATTAGGCTCTTTGTAGCTTAATTTTTTAAAAGAAAAATTATGTTTTAAAATATATACACAAAAATATGTGAACTAAATTCAATATTAAACTGAAAAAAATACTAAAAAAGTCACAAAAGTATATAAGAATAAAACAAATGAAAGTTAACAAAAGTAAAAAACAATTAACATCATTAGTATGTTTTTAATAAAACTTAACTATTAAAAAAACAAATGTAAGTAAGATATACAGGAGACAGTGACATATTAAAAAAGTGATAAAAATCTCATAGATATCACAATCCCATAGAAATTGTTATGAAAGTTTAAATATAATTCATAAGTAATATAAAATAAAAAGAACATTTATGAATAAAAAAATCCCATACAAACCTGCAAAAAAATTGTCAATTTTTTTAGCAATTGTACAATATAAAATAATTTAATAGATTTTTAAATTTTATCGAGACGAAAATAATATTGAATTTGCATATCGCTATTGAAACAAACTGAAAAATGGTTTGTAATCAACTACAAACGGTCTTTCATCTGTGTTATTTATCTGTTAATATAAAAACAAACAAATGTATATATATAGTAAATCACATTTTTAAGATCCATATTTATATATATATATATATAATTAAGATAATAGTTTTGGATTTTCTAAATCTCAAATCACCATTATATTTGTGGTTTTCTAAATAGATAATAGCTTTAGGCTTTTCTAACTCAAATCACCATTATCATATAAATTTGTCCAAGGTAATTGATAGCAAAATAAGGTAATCATCATATTTCCGAATTAACTAATTAGGAAATAAAGAACATACACATTAATGCAATATCAGATGTATATAGTTACTAATAAATGACATCATAAAAGAACAAGAAATTTACTTAATAGACATATATNAAGGTAATCATCATATTTCCGAATTAACTAATTAGGAAATAAAGAACATACACATTAATGCAATATCAGATGTATATAGTTACTAATAAATGACATCATAAAAGAACAAGAAATTTACTTAATAGACATATATTTTCACAAAAATTTAACTTTTAAATTTGTCAATTAAATGTATATTTAAAAAAATACTTCCTAAAAAGATTATTTTGTTTAGAATTATATATAATAAAAAAATCAGAATATATCAAATTTAAAGAATAATTATGAATTAATAATCATATTTTATCATTAAGTCTTATGGTTCCTGAAATATTTGTTATAAAAATTCTTGTAAAGACATTTCTTGAGATATATAAAGTCTTATGGTTCTTGTAATATTTGTTTTCTTTTAATAAACATGAAGCAATTAAAGAAAGATATTAAAAATTAACTGTCATAAATTTGCAATAATTAACATACCATTTAAGACAAGTAACTGATGGCAAAATAAGGTAATCATCTTATCAACTTGCGCAAGTAATTGATAATAAAATAAGACAAGTTATTAATAAACAAATCAACTAATTAAAAGCCTTTACCAACAAGGCATATCTTTCCTAATACCATAATATGGTTATAAAATTAAAGAATAATAAATAGTTTTGATTTTGATATATTTTAAATCTATAGAAATATAGAATAATTATGTTTTATCACTTATATTTAATATAGAAATTTGTATTTAACCGATTTAATTCTAACATTAGTATTAGAAATATATACAAAAATGTTACACATATCATATTCTAACTCTGAATTATATACATAATTTATTATGTGATAATTTGTATAAAGTTATATTATAATTGACATAGAACTATATAGTTTATGATGACAACAAAAAAAGATGACAAAAAAGAAATATATAGTTTACATATATGAATTTATAGGATATACATTTTATAATATGATAAATTGTATAAAATCATATTTGAGTACAAAGTTGATAAAATGTATAAAACCATTTAAGACAAGTAACTGATGGCAAAATTAGGTAATCATCGTATCAACTTGCGCAAGTAATTGATAATAAAATAAGGCAAGTTATTAATAAACGAATTAACTAATTAAAAGCCTTTACCAACAAGGTATATCTTTCCTAATACCATAATATGGTTATAAAATTAAAGAATAATAAATATTTTTGATTTTGATATATTGTAAATCTATAGAAATATATAATAATTATGTTTTATCACTTATATTTATTATAGAAATTTGTATTTAACCGATTTAATTCTAACATTCGTATTAGAAATATATACAAAAATGTTACACATATCATATCCTAACTCTGAATTATATACATAATTTATTATGTGATAAATTGTATAAAGTTATATTATAATACATAGAACTATATAGTTTATGATGACCAAAAAAAGATGACAAAAAAGAAATATATAGTTTACATATATGATTTTATAGGATATACATTTTATAATATGATAAATTGTATAAAATCATATTTGAGTACAAAGTTGATAAAATGTATAAAACCATTTAAGACAAGTAACTGATGGCAAAATAAGGTAATCACCATATCAACTTGCGCAAGTAATTGATAATAAAATAAGGCAAGTTATTAATAAACGAATTAACTAATTAAAAGCCTTTACCAACAACGTATATCTTTCCTAATACCATAATATGGTTATAAAATTAAAGAATAATAAATATTTTTGATTTTGATATATTGTAAATCTATAGAAATGTATAATAATTATGTTTTATCACTTATATTTATTATAGAAATTTGTATTTAACCGATTTAATTCTAACATTAGTATTAGAAATATATACAAAAATGTTACACATCATATCCTAACTCTGAATTATATACATAATTTATTATGTGATAAATTGTATAAAGTTATATTATAATTGACATAG